AGTGTGTGTGTGTGTGTGTGTGTGTGTGTGTCGGGGGGGGGGGGGGTGGGACGACTGGGGATATGGAGAATCCAGAGCGGGTCAAAACTGGGGGAGAAACCAGGGGGATCAGAGCGGGGGGAGGACACCGGGGGGTGGGAGGGTCCCAAAGGGGCTGGGATGTGGGGAAACAGGGGGATCAGAGTAGAGGAGGACCCAGGGGGGTGGGGGTGGGGGGTCCCAGAGGGGCTAGGATGTGGGGAACCAGGGGATCAGAGTGCGGGGAGGACACTGGGGTCATCAGGGGTCCCATGAGACCCTCCCCTACGCTGTGTCCCCCCTGCACACCCTGGCGAAGGGCAGTGGCGTAGGGACGGGTGACAGGACTCTCTGGCACTACAGGGATTCAGGAGGTCCTGAGGTTCACCCTCTGGCTCTGACCTCCCGGGGGTCAGGGGGATCCCTGGGCTGGGGGGGACCCGGCGGGCGAGCCAGCGGAGGCCCCCCAGGCCCAGCGAGAGGCCAGGCGCGCCCCAGGGCCAAGATCTGGGCAAGATTAATGGAGGTGGGGAGAGGGTGGCGCTGACCCCAATGGGGCTGGTTCCCCCCGAAGTCAGGCCCTGCGCCGGTGGGCCAAGTTGTCCTGGATCCCAAGGGCAGGCTGCCCCTCCTCCCCGTGGGGCAGGGATCCCTGCCGAGCCCCCAATCCATGGGGCCTGCCCTACCCTGTAGTCGTAGGTGGCGTCGGGGTTCTCGTCACAGGCGATCACCTCTGGGGCCATCCAGTAGGGGGTGCCGATGAAGGTGTTCCTGCGCCCCACTGTCCGGTCCAGCTGGGCGCTCACCCCGAAATCCACTGGGGAGGGAGGAGACGCAGCCGTCAGCACGTGGAACACCCCCCTGCCCCCGCATCAGCACCCCCAGCCTGCGGCCCCAACTCCAGAGAGGCAGTGGCATGGTCACCCTTCCTTCCCCAGGCTCAGGCTCTCTGCAGACTTAGGCAGTGCCCCTGTGCCAGCTTCACCCCCGCGCCCGGAGCGACGGGCTCAGGCTCTCTGCAGACTCAGGCAGCGCCCCTGTGCCAGCTTCACCCCCCCCCGGCCCGGAGCGACGGGCTCAGGCTCTCTGCAGACTCAGGCAGTGCCCCTGTGCCAGCTTCACCCCTGCCCGGAGCGACGGGCTCAGGCTCTCTGCAGACTCAGGCAGGGAAGAGTGGCCCATTATAAAGCAGGCCAAGGAGATAATCTATTCCATGGGGGGCTGATGGAACTCCCTGCCACAGGACGTTGCTGATCCTCAGGGGATTTGAATCAGGACTGACGCTTATATGGGCCGTCAGACCAGCCCGAGAGAAAGGAAATAGATGGGACTGTAACCCCGTCGTGGGAGCCGGGTGGGAGCGCCCCGAGCTGCGCCCTAGGGAGAGGAGACGGCAGGTTGCCCACTCAGGGGGGCGTGGCAGCTGCTGGAGACAGGAGTGAGCGGTAGGGCTGGGGATGGAACCCAGGAGTACAGGGTGAGTGGCCCTGCGGCAGGAATGGGGCTTCTGGGCACTGCCCCCAACTTACCCAGCTTCACCTCGGCATTCTCCGTTAGCAGCACGTTCTGCCCTTTGATGTCCCGGTGGATCACCTTGTGGGCGTGGAGGTGAGCCAGGCCCTAGGGGGGCAGGGAAATGTCAGCTGAGATCCAGTCACAGGAACCCAGGAGTCCCGGCTCCCAGCCCCCCCTGCTCTAACCACCAGCCCCCACTCCCCTCCCAGAGCCGGGAGAGAACCCAGGAGTCCTGGCTCCCAGTCCCCCCCTGCTCTAACCACCAGCCCCCCACTCCCCTCCCAGAGCCGGGGAGAGAACCCAGGAG